AGAGAGGAGGAGAGAGAGAGAGAGAGAGAGAGAGAGAGAGAGAGAGAGAGAGAGAGAGAGAGAGAGAGAGAGAGGTCCAGTGGAGGATGGGGGTGGTTGGCGCCGAATGTGTAAGTTGACAAAGCACTGAGCTTCAAGAGTGCCAAAATTACAGGTTTATTCGACAGTAGCCTTTAGGATGCTGGTTTGACTCTATAACACACCTTTACACCGCCGGAGACGCCAGTAAAAGCTCAAATTGTTGCAGCAAGTTGTAGAGAAGACGTATGCTCCGTTGGTTGGCAATACGATAAGGTGGGCAAGGACAATGCACTGGTGGCGAGCGAGCAGGCCATTGATTAAAACTGTGGTTATGTGCACCATGGTAGAAAGTGCTCTTGGCGTTAGATCATGAAAGATCAATTGATTTATAAGCCAACTGTTCAATAAGATAATCTGTCCCGAATGAAAGCTCTCTGGAAATGCTTGTGTATTCAATAAGATAGTCTGTCCCGAATGAAAGCTCTCTGGAAATGCTTGTGTAAAGTACGAGGCCCTCGACGAAGCAATGGATTGCTGTTCCCTCACTTTCCCACCATCAGTTGCACCTGATGGTCAACGAGTGAGCTTTCATTGTCCAGACACTGTTCTTAAGTGTGAAGCAGTGTCCTGTACCTGTGACTGAATGAGTTGTATGTTCAAATTTCAAACTCTGTTAATGAGTGGTTGAATTGAGAATTTGAGACATGTGAAACATATCATCCACACCAAATTTTCGATGGGTTCAAACTTGAAAGGATTTAGGCTGCACACACCCAGTCCCGGTCCCAAGGTCCCAACAAGTCCCAAGTCCCAGGGCTATCCCGTAGGGTAGAACATGGGGACTAGAGGCTGAAACGTCGTAGGTTGGTAGGTGTCGGTACCAAAGCGTCGTAGGTCGGTATGAGTACGTCCGGTACCCGACGAGGAAAGTCCAGAAGCGTCCTGTCCAGTCCGACAGTCCCAAGTCCAATTTTGCAGCATGTCCCAGGAAAGTCTGCAAGCTACCGGTCCAACAAAATGTTTCCAGCAGACAGGCCGTGACCGACCGGTACCAGACGGAAGGAGGCCAAGCCAAGAAACCAAGTCCTATATTTCGCTGGTAGTGCAGCTGCTCATCAGTTGTTGAGTTGCAAGATGCGGAAGCGCTGCTGCTGCTTGTGCGTTAAGGCAACTTGGGCACAGTGCGCGTGAAGAAGAAGAGGGTGCTTGAGGGATAGTCCATAGCTAGGCTAGCGCTAGAGCAGGAGGACGGTGGTCGTGGCCGCCAAGGTGTAATCTACCTGAGTGGGTGTATCCAGGGAAACAATCCACGGTAGAGGGAGAGTGAGGCAGAGTGAGTCAAGTCAGAGAGAGGGAGAAGAGGGGAGAAGCCATAACCGCTATCTTAGCATCTTTGTAAAGCAACATCGTTTTTCTTAGCATACTTTGAACAGGAATATATGGCAAGATAATTCGAAGAAACTTTTTGAGTTCTCTGTTCCGAACCAGAGTCAGCAATATATTTTACCATAATTCCCATATTTACGATCTCTTTGAATGGGTCCCACATGTGTGTAAACATTCCAAACAACTTCTAAGTAATGAGCTAAAAGTTTCACAGAGTCTTCGTCAAAACCATCAGTACATAAGACTCCCTTTCGCGCTAGTGAAATAATTGACCCATCATCTAACCACCAGATAGCTAATGACAATGGTGTAAGTCCGCTGTGCGTGTTTGTGCATCAGAGCCACCGGAGACAAACATTCTTGTATATTGATAATTATATCGGAGACATCATCTTCAAGTGTTGATTGTATTTCGATTTGGCTTCTCACGTGTGAACTCTCATTGATGTATGCGAGGTTGAACTTGAAGAGTACTTGGATGATTTCACGTTAGCTGACTGCCTATCCCAAACCCTGAGTATGTAGCATTCTCACTGGTTAGTTACAACTACTATGGCTTTTTGTACAGATAATCTAGTCCAAAGAATCCAGATAGAATTTGCAGTTTCGATTTGTGCTGTGTGAGGGAAGGGATGACATGCTCTTTTTCTGTCCTTGCATTTGCTAGTTCTTTGATGTCTTGCTTTTTTGTGTAATTGTTTGTTTGTCTTTTTGTTTGTTCATCTCTTTGTTTGCTCGTCTCTTTGCTTGTCCGTCTATTTGTTTGTTTGTTTTGATTTGCTTGTGCACTCCCCATCTTTGTTTTATTCTAAAATGCCTTATACTCCACTGCCTAGCTCACCATTCCTTCCTCACTCACTCTGATCCCTTTGTGCAATTGCCCTGCTGCTCCCTTGCTTGCGCCCTGACTTTCTCCTTTTCCCTCGTTTGCTACGTCATTCACCTCTTCCCTTGCTGCTTGCTCTCTTGCTAGGTTGCTCGACTCCTCCCTTGCCTGTTGCTTGCCCCACCTTCCCCCCCTTGCTGCCTCGGTCAGTCACGGCCATCACCTGTGCACATGCCAGCTTCCTCAGTGGTTCCCGTGCTCATGCCATTTGCTCTCTCTCTCACTGCCCTGCTACTTTCTGTGCTTGCTCCCTCACTCCATCTGTTCCCTCCCACTGCCTCATCTACTCTTTTGCTGGTGGACTTCGTCACTGCCTTGCTTCCTCCTTTGCCCCCTTGCTCAGCTTTTTTCCTGGTTCGCTTACTCCTTTTGACCATTTTTCCCGTGCTCTCTTGTTTTCTCCCTTGCTACCTCACCTGGCTTGTTCATCGTTGGTACTTCATGTGCGTGTGCCTTGGCCACCTTGTTTGGTCCCTTTTGCTCTTGCTCCTTGCACGTTGAAAATTGTTCGCTGGCTACTCTATCCCCGATTTGTTCGTCATTCCCTTGCGCTTCCTGAGTTCTTTGTACCCTTGAACTGCCCATTGCTTAGCGACTCACTCGTGCTCCTTCGTGGTTACCCTTTCTAAGTCGCCTGTTTTCTCCCTCCCTTTAGGACAGAGAAGGCAGCAATGAGGGTGATGATAGTAGCACTGTCATTATTGGTAATGATGGTGCTGGTGCTGGCCATGCTAGTGGCTATTGTAGTGGCAGTTGTCATAGTTGCCGTTGTAGTGGCTGTCAGGGTACTAATCGTAGGATCAGCGGCTGCAGCAGCAGTAATGACAGTAGCACCGTAGTAGCAGCAGTAGCAGAATTACAGCAGTGTAGTGTCAGCTGTAGCAGAAGCACAGTAGCATCACACGTATCAGCAGGAGATAAAAAATAAATTTCTCCATGATAATTATCATGGATGTTTGGGATCTGCTGTCCAAAAAGGAGGGCAAGAAAGAGGAATAAAACACATCTATTGGTGGATGACAATGAATGTATGAGAAGCTGACATCAGAACAGTAAAACTTTGAAAGCAGCAGCTATCAATTAGAAAGAACAGTAGCAGCAGGAAGAGGTGATGAAGTTCCCCGGAACTTGTCAGTTGGAAGGGTGCAGTTGTGGTCTAAATCTCTCGAGAAACATGCAATGGCATATCACTGATGGAGGGACTAGCCTGAGGATTTACATCTCAGTGCTTTTTGTGGGGTCTCATTCCCAGTAGCGGGCTTGGGTAGCCATTTGCACACAGAGGGAAGCATTTGTCTTATCCATGTTGTAAGCCCAGGCCTTTGGGAGCAAGGTCCGATGTAGTAAAACCAAAAGCAGATGGGGTGAAGATGTTTGGTTCTCAACGTGAGAAAGGTGGCTGCAATTTGTGAAGATTTAGGCAGACAGAGGTGTGAAGTGCCATGTGCCAGTACACTGTCATGGCTTCTGTCAAAGAAAATAGAGTGAAGTCATCAAGGAGACTTAGTCATGGGGAAGGTAAGCACTTGCCCTTGGATCCACCCAGTACCTACTAATGGATCTGGAGGAGGTCG